TAATTTTATTTATTCTGGAAGTTCATCTTTTTCGTGTTCTAACTTAATCTATAGTGCGACTGCTTTAGTTTTGCCTCCTTCTTCCGTTTCTAGTCACGTTTTCAAATCATATATTTCTTCTTCCATCAAAAGTTTATCACCGTTCAAATGTTTATTTTCGCTACGCAAAAACTTAAATTCTTTTTCCATCTCAGTAATGCTTGTGTTGGAGCGCTTGAACTCAAATAATTAATAATTGTTTTGATTAAACTCTTCTAAATTTGATATATTCTATATTGTAAGTTATATTTTTAATATATTGTACAACTCATTCCCATGTTGATATTTTAAATTATCATATAAATCTCTTTATAAGTATCGATCTGTTTACCCATAACACACATTTTATCAGTGAGAAATTGTATTTCCCTTGACAGCTTATCTGTGTGAAGTCGATATCTGCTATATCGATTGTAGTACTTACTGTTTTTATATCGATATTACCTGAGACTATCCATCCCAAAGAAGTCTCCTGTAGTATCATTCCATTGAATTTCTGAATTTTTGTTTGTAAAATTTCAGGCATCAAATCAGATCCAATAATAATGTCGATTCTGCTTACAGTGTAGAATTACATTTGTAATTGAGTACGACATCTTTTAAAGAGAATATTAGAAGTCGATATCTGCTATATCGAGTGTAGTACTTTCAGTTCTTATATCAATATTACCTGAGACTATCCATCCCAAAGAAGTCTCCTGTAGTATCATTTTATTGAATTTCTGAATTTTTGTGCTCTTGTAGATCCAGATGAATGATATACTCTTTTCTTATTATATTTTATTATACAGATAGAATTTATTTTTAGCGACGAATTATTTCGGGTTTCCAGAAAAAGTATTACTTAATTTGAGAGATGTGTGCATATTTTTTTTATTTAATTATTTAATGAAGTGCTATGAGGGACACACTTTCAATGCACTATCTTACATACTAACTTACAAACTAACAAATTAAATTGAACATACTAATTAAATTGTTGAACAACAAAAAAATTTATTCAAAACCAATCATTCAAAACCAATAAAATAAACGATTAAAAATTGAAATCCGGGTCGACGGACCGGACGGCGTATAAAAATTGGCACGTACACTGTCTAAATTTTCGTTATCCTGGCCTTTTAAGCTAGATCAAAATTATTTTTACAGTTTTTTAAATATTGTTAAATATATATTAATTATTTATTTGAACTTACTTCACGTATTTCTAAAAATAAACGGAAATTATATATGCCCATACTTAGTATCGTCAGTAGTAGGCATGTCATCACAGCCAAGGCAAACCAATGCATCGTCATAAGACTTCTAAAATTAATAAAAAATATATTTATTATTTATTTCAAGTATTGTTAATATAATTTTAAATATTAAATATAAATTTTAAAATATTGTTGTGATTATTCCCACACTATTCACGTGTTCGTTTGCGATCAACTTGAATTTCTGTGGAACGTTTATTATCTTCTATACATTGAAGATAATATCTGTGTTTCAAACACACACTATTATTTTTAATAACAACAATATTTCAAAAACTTATTTTCCAACTAACTGACATTATTATAAATTATCACAGTTTACTTAAATATAAATACAATATAAATACAATATAAATACAAATAAATATAAATTTTAAATACAAATTCAGATACCAATCGCCTAAGTTCAAAATTTTTGCATGACGTGAGTTCTTGTAAACTTTATTTTAATTAAACTTTTTTTAATTTAAAATTTTTTTATTTAATTTTTTTTTATTTAAAATTTTATTATTTAAAATTTTATTATTTAAAATTTTTTTGTTTAAAATATTTTTATTTATAAATTTTTTTTATTAATTTTTTTTTTGCACGAATTTCTTTTATTCATGTATATTATATTCAAATACATTGTCTTGTCTACATATGGTTTATCTGAGGTTCTCCATTACATAGCACCTGATCAGAAAAATAATTAAGTATTAAATATTAACCTTAACAGCAAGACGCTATAAAAAACAAAAGTCGTATATCGCAAAAAAGGTACCAAATAGGAAAATCTCAGTACCAAGTATCTAGATACAAGCAAAAATATAATAACAGCAGAAAAACTTCAATTAAATGTGATCAATAAATAAAGTCATTAAAATACGTAAGCCCACGTTGTATACACAAGTGGCTTAAGTCGAAAAAAATAACAAAAACAATATGATAATAATAGAAAAAAGAAGAACTCGTAGAAAATTCTGTAGAGAAGAAAACACTAGATTTAATTTTTAACTGCCGCCTTAAATGAAATATTTGAATATGTCAGGTGCTGTTCACGATCTCTTCTTACCATGAGTTGTTATTATGTCGGCTTATTTTGATAATATACGCGTGCCTTGCAAAAATTTCCAAATAATGAAAAAATGTGATAGGCATTTGATTTAATTGCCTTTAAATATACGAATATATATACAATAGAAAACTTACAATCTCTTTTAAGCCACGGAAATCAGTTAGTTGATCATATATAATATAAATAAGAAGTCGAAACTATTCTCCTGATACCACAACGCGTTCAACTCCAAAGTGAGACACAAGACTTACTTAACGGTGATTGGAATATAAACTAGTAAATCTGTAGTAATGTCCAGGATAACTAAACACCTTTAGTCTCTTGAAATTAATCAAAGGTTATATTATTACATATCTTATGTGTATTCCTTATTAATGCGATGTGACTGTTTATTAAGATTTGATTTTGTTAAATTACTGATATTTTTTGAAAGTGAATTACTAGTTACAGCCCTTACTTGTAGGTAAGTGGATTTTTTAAAGTTAAAGTACAAGTACTCAAAATGTTGGTTTTCTAAGCATAAATAAAGTACTTATCATCAAATCTTGGTGAAGCATAAATAAAGTACTTATCATCAAATCTTGGTGATCTACTTATAAAAATATATCTTACGAACTCATCAAAATACATCGTGTGAACGAACACTGCAAGGCTTACTGCAGTTCTTTCTATTCATTGTTGTACAGGAGCCGACGTACAGAGACTGCGCATTCCTCTTAATCCTCATTGTAGAAATTGTGGAAACGTACAGGGAGAAGGAAACCAAAAAACACTTCTTTTGTGAATGCCTGGTTTTGGCGTTCAGAAGAAATAGAATTTTAGAAAACTACTTCTTTGACAGCTTCTCAGACTGTTCAACGATAAAGATAAAATACTAATTAAATAATCTAATCTCGACGGGATGGATTTAGTGTCTACACTTTTATACTAGAGATTCTTATGAGGGATGTGGTGGCAAAACGGCATTACCGTTCTTGAACGTAATTGGATAGAGAAGCTTTGAAAGGGTTGAAAGTTAGTTTGTAGTAAGAGAATGGTCAACATTCTTTGTATTTATATAGTTTCGGTGTAAAGGTTTCGAAAAGTAGTACTCCAACAATAAAAATGGTCGTTTTGATGTTGTATACTGGTATATATTATAAACTTCAAAGCGCTAAATCAAATTTGCGATATAATTTTTTATATAAATATTCTGTGATAGTAGTATAGGATGGATCGACTATTTATGTCTCTTGAGTTATCAATGAAGTTATTTTCCAAACTAGATTTAATTTCATTAAATTTAAAATTCTAAATCTAAATTTAAAAATTATTTGTTTGTACTCTTTCATAAAATAAAGTTGCATTAATTCTCAAAAACATATTATTATTATTTTTTCTTCTATTAATAAGTAATCTAAATTGAGGTCCGCGTTATGACAAAAACTAAAAGTTCATATATAGGCGTGTTATTATGTTTGTAAATATATATATATGCATATCAATATTTATATATTTTATGGGTCTCATATTAATGTTTTTTTTCTTTTGAAACAGATGTTTACATCTATTGAGGTTCATACAGAATTTCTGTTTTCTATCTTTAATTATGTAGTCGACGAGGCTCTGCATAAAATTTTCATATGAAAAGTATGCTAAGTAATCGTATTTAATAAAGAAATTTAAGAATTTCAAATTTTGATTTATGTATGAGTTTAAATTATGTACATAGATAACATATGAATGTGCTGGAAGCATCTCCCAGATTAACTGGTTTCACTGTACTCAAGATTTGTTGGTATTAAATTCTTCTTCTTTGTTTTATTTTTTCTTAACGAAGTGCTTTATATTTTCAAAACTATCTTATCGATTAAAGCTTTTGATTAATTTCAAGTTGCAGAGAGTTTACGTGAATCACAAAAATGCAACTAATTATATTAAATAAGTAAATAATTTTTTATTTCAATATAACTCATTTAAAAATAAGTGGATTTACTTAATAAGTCATGAACTAAATAAAAAAAAAACAACAAAAAGTTATTAAAATAAATAAAATGACTTAAAAATAAAATTAATAAAATTATGTTAAAATGTGTGAACAAAGTAAACCATATCTGTACCTTGCAGAACCCATTGTCATAAGAATTTTACGGAAATGATGTATGTGACAAGCTTGCAAAAGCGGTACTTTTATTCCAATATCAGAAATTGCGGAGTTTTATGGTGTATCTACTTGACTTGTCAAACTGCACCGACAGTATAAAATATCGAACTTATTCTAACACCACGGCCTATGTTATTTCTAATACCAAAGCCGTAAGGCAATCCTCGTAATTCATTTATGTCTACAACAAACATTATGGCAGCTTTCTAAGTCTTAATAAATCTGAACTAAGATTAAACACTCGGTTTATAACTGGAAACTGAGACTTTCTGTACATTCCGTGAAATACGGTATAAAATATCAGTCCATCTTCCACTTATAATAACAATTTAATGAACCCATAATATTTTTTTCGGTCATATCATCATAACCTATTTTAGTTGTTTGTGGTTTTTTCATGAATTTGTATAATTATAATATACTAGATTTCAATTTATTTTCAAATTAATAGGCATTAATTTATATGCTTATTAAGCACTCCAATTTACCTAATTCTCATTTCAAAATCTGCTCTATAAATAATTGAAGACGTAAGCAAAGATGATATTAGATATTAAACTGCATTAGGTGCTACAATATATTTAAAATTCAATTACTATATACTTAAAACCTTTAATTTAATAAAGATAAAAAATTACTGAAACTAATAAAAGACCAAATCTAGAAAAAAATGAAATAGTCAAATAAATGAAATTAAACTTATTTTTATTTAAATTATAAAATTTTAACGTAAATTCTATATATTTTGGACTGTTGATTTTATTTAGAAAAATTTTATTAACACCATGGTCAGCCTATAAAGTATCTCTGTACTGGTAAAGTGATATTGTTTGCTGTATCAGTGGAAGGAATTCAATTTAAAATGTTATTATCATTAGATTGTCTAAAAACAAATTCTTCGTGACATACTTTTTTAATTTCCAGAAACCTTTAATCATCTGATTTGCAATTGCTGCTCCTACGAAATTTTGAATGCTCGATAATCTTCATTGATACCAGTCTGGGTAAGCTGTATCTTATTTCATTAATTGATGGATGAGTGTTGAGACCTGACATTGGTCTTATATTTAAAAATGTGTTTTATAAACAACCTTGGTTTAGTTTTCCAGATTAGATTTATAAAAGTGTTGGATGTTTCTTGAAAGGATTATAGGGCAATTGTAATATACAATTAAGAGTGTAAACTTAACCACCGAAACATTTATAATGATTATTTTTAACAGGGAATACAGTTTTAATGAAATTTATATATCTTTGATATCGATCACGCTTGCCATTATCTTGTCTAAAAAATGGACCTTTATGAACATTTTTGTCCAAGATATATTTAAGTAAAAGAAACGTCTTTACTCTTACACCACGAATGATTGTTTCTAAGGATTGTTTTCTAAGTGCAAGAATTTGAATCTATGAACGATAAAGGCACGCTTTAAATAACCATGCTTTAAGTTTAGTTCCAATTCTTCTTTCCGTTTATAATGGTCACGTTTCTTTGAGACTTAAAGTGATTTTTTTTAAATGTTAAATTTTTATATATCATTAGAGCTTTCTTTAGCGCTTTAATACTTTTAGCATATATACATATTTAGCATACATTTTTTTTTATATTCAACCAATTAGGAGTTAATTGATTTAATTTCCAATACTTTTGTGTTTTTCCTTAATACCATTATAATATTATCTTGTAATATTATTTTGAACGTAATGCGAAAGGATCTGGCTCCACATTAGTGGAACAGTAATCTTGAGTTAATTTTATTTATTCTGGAAGTTCATCTTTTTCGTGTTCTAACTTAATCTATAGTGCGACTGCTTTAGTTTTGCCTCCTTCTTCCGTTTCTAGTCACGTTTTCAAATCATATATTTCTTCTTCCATCAAAAGTTTATCACCGTTCAAATGTTTATTTTCGCTACGCAAAAACTTAAATTCTTTTTCCATCTCAGTAATGCTTGTGTTGGAGCGCTTGAACTCAAATAATTAATAATTGTTTTGATTAAACTCTTCTAAATTTGATATATTCTATATTGTAAGTTATATATTTAATATATTGTACAAC